CTTAAAAGTTGAGCCTGTGTCAATATATCTTATTTAAATTCAAATACTTTAATTTCAGTTTTGCATCCAGCTACTACAATTGAACAATCACTATTAGTAGCTATTGCAACGCAAGGTTCTTGTTATTTGATTGAATTTTGGAGTTATTCGTATTAGAATTAGTTTTATATTTATTAAGGAGATTGTTGAACAATTAATTCTTTTGCTTATGTTTACTTAAGTTATTCAATTTATAATTAATGAGATTATAATTGTTAATCTTTGATTTTTATCGTCTCATTTAATTGCTGTTTTTGAATCTTCTATTTTTAAAAGCTTTCGTATAATTATTAATACTCAATACTTTAAACCTTTATTTAATTATCAATCGAATTTTTTATTGAAGATGTTACTTAATTAGTCAATTAATTAACAAATTATGAATTATCGATATGTAATAATTACAATCTATGTAATGATTCATTCTATTCAACAACTCTCAACTTTTAACACTTTAGCTTCTTTTAATTCAATGACCTTTCATTATCAACAACTATCTAATCAAGGAAATCATCGATTCTATTGAAAGACAACTAAATGACTTAAATAAAAATTATTTACCTCCATTTCTTATTGAATACCTTTAAAACATTCTTCCATTATAAGATTTTTATTGCTTGAAGCTGAACATTAGAATTTGTGCATATTGTTTCTTAAATACTTTGAATTATTATTTTTTAAATATTTAAACTACAAAGATAACAAGTGCGTTAAATATTTTTAATAATTGTATATTGATACACTTAAATTGTGATAGATTTATTTTCTTTTTCTTTTATTTATTAATCAAAGTCACCAAATTTCAATTAAAGTAAATTATAATAGTCAAATAATCAAATGAAACAGGAAAAAAACGATATAGATATTATATGTTGGATATTCAACATTATGGAAAATAAAACATTATATAAAATTAACGAATTGATTTGTCATTTTCTAATAGATTGTTTTGAAGAATGAATCAAAAATTAACCTAAATACAAGTTTAATGTATTGCACAATTATTTAGGTAAGTTTCCGAAAATATATAACATGTAAAATTTTCTCTTCCTCAAGAAATAAACTTCAGGTTGATTGAGAAAGCTGTAAAATATTTGGAATAAATTTCAATCTACATTTAATTATAATATAAATTTGCTCACCTGAGCAATTAGAATAAGAAATATTGTTTTCAAAACACAATTTTAAAAATCAGAAGTCATTTATATACACTTCAAAGATAACTTATATTTTATTCCTTTGCAGTAATTGATATTTTTAGCGTAAACTGCATTTCAGTTGAAAACTGAGAAGAATTTCGCTAAATAATGTTGCTTTATAGTTGTTTTTTTAATTCTTAAATTGGAATTTCTACTCTCCATATTTAATAGAATCAAGGTGATGTGGAGTAGATAATTAAATAAGTTCATTAAAATTTCATTCAGTCTGTCTGAAAATGGATGTAAAATACTCAAAAGGGCATAATAATCAAAAATACAATTTACATTAATTTAAACTAGCTAGAATTTGACACCTCTCTAAATTTAATTGGGCTAATGCTAATTTTGAGAAAGTAGAAACAGAGATTTGGATTAGTATATATCTTCTAAAATGTAAAACTAGAGATAATGAATTATAGCAATCAAAACGTCCTTATCTTAATGGCAATAGTTCTCATTGGCGCTTTGACCGATTATAATGGAAAAGTTTGTATTTAAAAAGTTGACATCAAAGACTTGATCGAAAATTCATTTAGAAGACATATTATGAGTAATTTTATATATATAATAAAAATTATATCTGAAATTTATAATTGATTTAATAATTCAAAGCAGATTATTATTCCAGATTCATAAAAAATTCAGTATGTTTTGATGAATAGAATGTTTTATAATATATTTATAATCTAAAAGCTACTATAGCAATAAAATTAAATTATCTTCCAAAAAATTAATTTTTGGTTTATATTTAATTATCTTTTTCAATTTAATGCAAATGCCTCACATTAAATATATTTATAAAAAATTTAGAGTGATTTAGAGATAATTTATGAGGATGTAAAAGAGCAGAGTATTCATATATTTGGTATATCAGCCTAAATAAACAGGGACCAAAATCTAAAAATTGATATCAAATATAATTATATAAGTGTAATATTTAATTCGCAAATACTTTATAAATAAAAATTTAGGTGATTTCCTTATTTTAACAATATTTCAGCCTTTTAAAACTTTAAATATATCAATAATAGAAAATTCTATCGAAATGGCATTATAATTTGCTTTATTCTATATATACTCACCAAATAAATCCATTGTTGCCATCAAGTGGATGAGTTATTTTTTAATTGGATAGGGAATCTAAATAAATGTTAAAAATGAATTAGGAATGTAAATTAAGGAGTAACATGTCATTATATTTTCAGAAGAGTCTTTAAACTAGAATTTCAAGTCAATTTTTAAATGAAGCTTTATAGGTACTTATGACACTGTAAAAACAGTAAAATAAAAAGATTATTAATTTCCTAAACACAAGTGCAATATAAATATTTAAAAATTATTAGAAATCCCCAAACAGAATTAATATTACCTTCTTAAAATAATTAAGAAATTCAAATTCAACCTTTGTATGAATATTTTCCTGTTTTTATTAAATAATTAATAAAGATGATTTATTCCACTTATAAAAAATTAATTTTTCTCATCCCTTTTGTAATTAAATCTTAAAAATCTTTTGAAAGTCATTATATTTTACTATAACACATAAATTTTAGGTATAAGTATTTCTTCTCACTTAAAAAAGACAATAGTGTTATTTTTTGATAATATACGTTTTTAAATTAGTGAACGCGTTTTACACATTGACAACGCTTACTCAATATTTTATTTATATGTATATGCATAATAATTAAGATAAATGAACAAAAAATTCTTAAAAGAAATTACAATTTATTTATTATAAAACTCTCATTTTTCTATTCAAACTATGCTGTAATTGTAAGTCTATAAAAAATTATTTCATTAATTCTTAGATATTTCTGACAATTTCCATATCATATTGACAGAAATGTTAAAATTCTATACATTTTGTGAATGGTTCATAAAAGGTGTAGTTGAGGATAATATTCTTCTAATATCAATACTCTCTTCCAAAGCTACTTTTATACTGTCAAATACAAATTATTTTCAATTTATCTAATGTCATTTCTAAGAAATTTTATTATACTTAATGAAATGTAAATGCAAAAGTAAGGATATTTATAAATATAAAAATAAAGGTAATCATCTGAGAAAAATTCTAGATAATATTATAGAATACTGCCTAAATAATCAACTAAACACAGTGAGGAGCGTTAACGAAAATAATATCAAAGATCTCTGTAGCCTTGAGTTTTTATGGTCTAATTCTATAGTTCAGCCCACAAAGGTTTGACACCTTGATAATCACGTTTTTCAACTACTACTCTCCCTAAAATAGTTTCTAAACTATCTATTCAAACTTAATTATTTTTATTATTTTCTATAGCTAAAATTCTCATCTCCTCTTATTAGAAGTTAAGTGTTTAAATAAATTATTACTCATTATATCTAATAATTACTTTCATATCTTTCTTATCAGACCCAGGTATATTATTTGATAGGTCTATCGAAGATCCTGTTGGAGGAATTGATATTCTTATCCTACATATTGCACATCACGTGGTTTACAATTACAATTCCCTCCCTTAAAAGTTATTTAGGAATGAATATTGTCTATCAACAATAAAATTATCTATCTTATTCGGATAGTTAAATTCTATTTTTTATTTCCTGAACCTCCTTTTATTCTTCTAATCATTATATCGTATTCTCTTTAGCTAGAATCATCTACTTTAATTTTTAGATTTGTCTGTTCTAATCCTCATTCCGTATATAATTCATGAGATTTTTGATTTAGAATTCTCTTCCAATTTTTTAAATAATCATTACGTTTATTCAATTATTTATATCTTTTTCAGATATAAACTTTAGATTACGAGCAGTGTTCGGAATATTTTAAGCGATTGGTATTGTCTATAACAAATTTTATTTAAATCTGGTGAATTCACAAACCCCTATTTCTTGATTTTTTCTAAAATAAACGTTCATGATTCTCTATTTCCATATTTGTATTTGAAATAAATGCCATTTTTTTTAAGTCTCTTTTTTGTCTTTTTCACATTGAAACTTTTCATAGGTTCCAATTTCTTTATAAACATATTCTCTATGTTCATAAACACCTTCTAATTATTATAATTGACAAAAATTTTATATATACTTTTTCTTCCAGCTCACCTGATTCATGAGTTAGAATCTAAGCCAATCTCATCGGTCTCTTTTAGCTAATCAATGAATTCTCTCTAGATATTTAATTACTTTTTCAGAGAATAAATTTATAAAAACAAGAATCCTTGTTGCAAAATTCTTCATCAGGACTCTTAGTTATAAGCCTGTGATTTGAAAAAATTTACATTCAAAAATAGAGGGTAATAAAAGAAGCTATGAATGAGCAAGGTCTGGAATCAAGAATTTAGACGACTGTTAGTAGGATGGAAAGAAAATTATGGATGCTAAGGATCCAACATAAAATCTACCCTAAGTAAGTTCATGAAATAAATTATGATCGTTATTTAGAACGGACTAAGCATATCATGATAGAAGCACCCGTAATAATAAAATTAAAATTAAATTTTAAATTTCTCAAATAAAGATTAAAAATCGCAGTTTGTCAGACTATGGCTTTACTAAAGAACCAAAATGAAATAATTAAATCAATATGCTATACATTAACTTTAGAATCATGTAATATAAAACAAGCCATCTTCATCTTATGCAATCATTTTTACAAACACAATAACTTGGATGTTGCATATTGATCAACAAGGCAATCCAAAGGATGTTTTACCTTACAATTAAAAATAAATAAAGTGCTAGATTATTTTTTCAAAGAACTCTAAGTTAAATATATTAAATTAGTTTTGATAACTGGTTATTATCTCTTAAACTTTAAATACACAGAATTAAAAAAAAGAGCCAATAAATTGAGAAAATGAATAAGAATTTTATATAAATTGCTATAAGTAATCCAGAAAGCCGATTTATCGTAGGAAGCGTATTAGAGAATGAATAAGTCAGATGAATTAGTAGCTCGATTTAAGCAAGACTCTATACATAAAAATTGATTTTACAGAAGAAGAGATTAATTTGACATTGGAACCTGCAAACTTTGTGCATATTATCAAAAATTTTATGTATTTATGAAAAAAAAATACAACCCAAAAAGAAAAATATAACTTTTGATCTGAATTTTATTTAACATTTAGGGAATTTGAGTTGACACATTCCTTAAAACATGTATAAGCACCAACAATAGGTTAATATTATTGAATATGAAGACGGATTAGTAATAGAGACATAGATAAATTAATGTATAAGAATAGATATATCACATTATTAATTACATTAATGTAAATTATTTTAGATTTATAATTTAGATTAAAGTTCATTGACACAGAGTTTAACAATATTAAAAGTATGAGCATTTTAATCAAATTATTTCTATATATAAACTTTAATAACATTTGCGCTTTATTCTGGAATTCTAAATTTTATTAAATTCAAGATGTACAATGAAGGTAACAAGTTACAATGGAAAACAAACCTAGAAAGAATTCAGTAGTTTTAAGATGAAATCATTAATAACAGAGACCTTAACCTTAATTACTATGCGCTAACAACCTAATAATTCAAAACTCAAGCAACATTCTGCCGTTTATGCTGATTCTTCTTTCCTGTTTTAAAAATATTCAATCTCTTATTCGGTTTAAATTATGGCTTAATTTGGTTACATCCTAAGTGTAAAATTTAAAGATAGAAATTTTATCAAACTAATCTAGAACAATTTTTGTTTAGTAGAATTGCATCATAAATGATTTCTATAGATTCAAACGTTTCTGTATTTATTGAAGAGATTGATAAATTAAGAGCTACCTTTCTAAAGTGATCGAATATTGCCAATAGTTTGTCATCTAAAGGTAAACTTATCTAATTAAAGATATATAATATGTGCAAACAGCAAGGGAGGTAGGATCTTACTGAAGCTCTTGAGAATTTAGCTTCGCATTTAACCGTTTTGCTCTAGCCTCTAAGGCTGAAAGTTAAGCCATCTAATAATTCTGATGGCTACTTGCTGACACTAAGTTTGTTCTTTATGATCAAATTCAGAGCTTCCATCATAATTGCACTACTCTCATGAGTCTATTGCAAATCAATTAATCTCCCGTCTTTTCATCATTTAACTTGATTTACATCAACATTATTCTGACTCCTGATGCATAAATTAGATACAAATCTCTTTCAAGACATGATAAGGAATAATCCTCTCTTTAATACACGAAAGAGAGTTTTTAGCCCTGTCACCATTAAGACAGTTCACCTCATAGATGATTTAGTTGTTCTACAAGAAGTCTTTTATAAGGAGAAATTTCTGTGCATCAGGATTTCGAAACCTTCTTTACTTTTTTCTTTATCCTTGAAAGCCTCATTCTTTAATAATTCAGTTTTGTCTCTTTGGATTCATAACTATTACTCATGAAACTATTTCTACAGATCCTCAAGTCATTAGCAAATATAAATTGGTTTGGCCTATTCTAATAGGTCACGATTTACTAATGTAGTCTCTCTACTTTAATTAAATGTTGATATATGATTGCCAAATCATTTTTCTCTCGAATATAGGTTGAGTATAGGAGCTCATAAAGAATTCACTAGATTTGGTATTTCTCTACCGATGGCCTCAAATTCAATCTTATAAAATTTAGGGAAGAAAATTGCATCTAATCATTTCGAGAATTCACGATCTTCTTATCCTATATATTCCTTTTTGAGTTTACACAATTCCTTTATTGATACTTTTTCACAAGAGTTACTAACTCATATCATATATATCAACCTAATTTTTGGTAGTCAAAATCTATCAGTTAATTTCTAACACATAAAGGTGGCTAATTATAGTATTTTTAGTACAATCCAATCGATTAGAAATAAAGATTTGATTCATCTTAAAATGGAATAAAATTATTTTTCTCTTCTCTGAAGAGTATTTCAAAGAATATAATCTATTAAAAACACTCCATTTAATCAGAGTTTGATCTTCACCTCATCTTCTTAAGCAGAAATTATTGCTTCTAGAATTATTAACGATGATCATAGCAGGAGATTTTCAATAATCACTTAAGGGCTGACTATTCTAATTGGGCTTGTTCTCTTTAAATAGCCTGAATTTACTCTAGAAAAACATTATATTAAGCAGATTGCGCTCCCTTATATATGGTGTAAAATAAATATTTCTATATAGCATTCAACTAATCAAAGAATAATTATAATTTCCTTTTGTGGTTTTGATATTTCTTATCGTTAAACTAATTTATTTGTTTGTTATTGATCTGAACTTTTTCAAATTTCCATTAAGATAATCCGAATGTTCATTTGTTATTTATAATCTTTATAAATTTATTAATTAATTAATAATGACATGATCATTTTATAGTAATTTTGAGTGTAAAAGAATTGATTTTATTTTAACAACAACTTCTAAATTGGAAATCAGAATTTATAGCAGTGCCTACTACTTCGTTAAATAATAGGCATAATAGATTTTTTGATGAAATCTATTAATAAGATCAAATAACTTTCAGTCATCTATTTCTTACTTTACTATATTTAATAAATTTTAGAAAATATGACTTTAAATTGCAATTATAGTATAAATACGAACTCTAAGTTTCAAATAGATTAATTTAAAGAATTCCCTAGAGAAATGAAGGATGTCCTTAATCTTTAACAATTTAATTTTAAATTAAACTCCTGAATTTTAGGGTTTTAATTCAGTTTACAATATTATTAGAGTTAATCTCTATCTAGCTATTTGTTTTACATAAGTTTAATACAAATTACAATTAAATATAATATCATAAAAAATTCAATGCAAACAGTTTCAGAATAATCCTTAAGAAAATGTAATAAGATTGATAACGAACTTGATGAGATTGTTAATGTTAAGTCTAATTAGTTTAATATAATAGAATCTTAAATACAATATGACTTATCAAAAATGAATTCCAATTATTTAATTAAATAGGACGATAACAATTTGGCGAACTCGGACTGTTAACAATTCGACACCTTAAACTAAAATAATATTTCAAATTAATAGAAGGATTAACAAATTTAATAACTTATCAATTCTTAAACCATCTAAGAAAGATCAACAATTACACAATCTAATCCTAGACCATTCACTTATGAATTGATACCAAAAAATTCAATTAAATAAAATGAACATTGTCATGCAATTGCTGTTAATAAAGATTATTCAACATTAATTGCTGCATGTGATAAATAAATCAAAGTGTTTGGATTTAAATAAGGAAAGTTGGTTTAACATGAAATTTTAAATGAACATAATAGATATGTTTATACTTTGAATTTTATGAATAGATCGGATCAGTTTATATCTGGGAGTGGAGATAGCTCAATTATAATATGGAAAAGAAATCAAAATAATTCATGGATTTGCTCATAGAAATTGAATGGGCATACAAGAGAAGTTTATTGTTTGATATTAAATAATAATGAAGATCTTATTGTATCTGGTAGTGTTGATAATACAATTAAATTCTGGTAGAACTAAAATGAATGGTTGTGCTCTTAGACAATCTCTGATCATACTAGTTATCCATATTCATTAAGTTTTAATGAATAATAGAATAAATTGATATCTTGTGGAAGGGACAATCTTATATTAGTATTAGAATAATAATTAAATAAACAATGGATGGTAATATAAACGATTGTAATGGAATAATTTGGACTTCGATTATGCTTTATCGATGATAATATATTCACATGCTAACCTTACAATACAGAGTACATGCATGTTTTTGAGATGAATAACGCTAATGAATAGTATACAAAGACGAAGGATATTCCAGTAAAAGGTGGCTAAGATTGTTGGTTGTTTCCATAATAATATATAAGATCAAAATGTATCCTTGTGAATAAGAATGCATCAAATGTGACTTTAATAAGTAACTAACAAAATGGTCAGTTTATACCTGAATAATCTATTTAGTTTGGAGCATGTGATATTTTTGGATGTATGACTGATGATGGGTAGTATTTAATCACATGGGACTCTACATCAAAAGAATTTTAGATTAGACAATATCAGAAAAACTGAGTAAACAATCATCATATTGAGTAATCAAAATATTATAACAAAAAATTTCAATTTGTTTCTTCTTTTTAGAATTATATCTTCAATTAGTTAATAGTTGTACTTAAATTATACTATTAGCCTTTTTTAATTTTAATAATACTCTCAGTAAAACATTAGCACATATTTCATAAATGTAGCTGCATCTTGAGGTACTTTCGTGATATTAGAGATTATTTTATGCTAACTACTTCTTGTGAAATCTCTGTTTCCAATTGAGTTTTCATCCTATTAAAAATGAAACAACTAATATTATTAATGACGGCTAGTGACAATTCAATTAACTGATATCAATAATTATTGACTATTATAAAGTTCATAGTACTTTTGTAGGCTTATTCTGCTGACATATATATCACAGAAGTAAANCAAATTAATAGAAGGATTAACAAATTTAATAACTTATCAATTCTTAAACCATCTAAGAAGCATCAACTAATCCTAAACCATTCACTTATGAATTGATACCAAAAAATTCAATTAAATAAAATGAACATTGTCATGCAATTGCTGTTAATAAAGATTATTCAACATTAATTGCTGCATGTGATAAATAAATCAAAGTGTTTGGATTTAAATAAGGAAAGTTGATTTAACATGAAATATTAAATGAACATAATAGATATGTTTATACTTTGAATTTTATGAATAGATCGGATCAGTTTATATCTGGGAGTGGAGATAGCTCAATTATAATATGGAAAAGAAATCAAAATAATTCATGGATTTGCTCATAGAAATTGAATGGGCATACAAGAGAAGTTTATTGTTTGATATTAAATTATAATGAAGATCTTATTGTATCTGGTAGCGTTGATAATACAATTAAATTCTGGTAGAACTAAAATGAATGGTTGTGCTCTTAGACAATCTCTGATCATACTAGTTATCCATATTCATTAAGTTTTAATGAATAATAGAATAAATTGATATCTTGTGGAAGGGACAATCTTATATTAGTATTAGAATAATAATTAAATAAACAATGGATGGTAATATAAACGATTGTAATGGAATAATTTGGACTTCGATTATGCTTTATCGATGATAATATATTCACATGCTAACCTTACAATACAGAGTACATGCATGTTTTTGAGATGAATAATGCTAATGAATAGTATACAAAGACGAAGGATATTCCAGTAAAAGGTGGCTAAGATTGTTGGTTGTTTCCATAATAATATATAAGATCAAAATCTATCCTTGTGAATAAAAATGCATCAAATGTGACTTTAATAAGTAGCAAACAAAATGGTCAGTTTATACCTGAATAATCTATTTAGTTTGGAGCATGTGATATTTTTGGATGTATGACTGATGATGGGTAGATTTAATCACTTGGGATTCTACATCAAAAGAATTTTAGATCCGACAATATCAGGAAAACTGAGTAAACAATCATCATATTGAGTAATCAAAATATTATTACAAAAAATTTCAATTTGTTTTCTTCTTTTTAGAATTATATCTTCAATTAATTAATAGTTGTACTTAAAATTATATTATTAGCCTTTTTTAATTTAAATAATACTCTCATTAAAACATCAGCTCATATTTCATAAATGTATCTGCATCTTGAGGTACTTTCGTGATATTAGGAGATTGTTTATGCTTATTACTTCTTGTGAAATCTCTGTATTCCAATTGAGTTTTCATCCTATTAAAAATGAAACAACTTATTATTATTAATGATGGCTAGTGACAAATCAATCAACTGATATCAATAATTATTGACTATTATAAGTTAATAGTACTGTTGTAGGCTTATTCTGCTGACATATATATATCACTGAAATAAATTATACTTAGATATTAAATAGTATACATAAAATTATGATGAGCACGATTATTGAGCTACCTAGTTATACATTGATATCATATTGATTCTCTTCTAATTATCATATGACTGTTTATTATATAGCTCACATAAGTGATAATTGGTTACCTCTAAACTTTTTATTTAAAAATAAAGATGAGCTAGTTTGGGTCAAGGTGTTTCTGTGGGAAATAATTGCCCTTTTGTGTTTCTTCAGAAAATAAACTTTGTTATAATGTTTCAGGCTGACTAGTTTTTACAGGAATCTCAAATTATTTCATGGTATTTAACAAATACAAAAATTAACCTTAAGGGCCTGCACAGTTTCTCATTTGAAACAAAGAATTGATATTAAATTATAATAACTTAATTTAAATTACAATTATCTGAGATGAACTAGGCTTCAAACTTTGAAGGCCATGCAAATTATTATAAACAATATTCCTGTTTTGCTGCAATTTGTAGCTGTTAAATAACATAACAAAAAATAATCTCTCTTATTGATTGCTGTTCAGATCAATCTGATTTAATCTAGTAAATCTCTATCATACACCTCATATATTATTTTAAATCTCTACTATATTTCTAGGATAGTTTGAGGGTAGAATAAATAGGAATTATGACTGATGATTAGAATAAATTCAGAAATTAGATTTTCAGTGAAGAATGAAAATTTCTCAGGAGAATCCAAGAAAATTTGATTTAACATTTGACATGCTTATAAAATATAAAATTCTCAAGAAGAATTGACTTTTGAGATTTTGAATACTTAAACTCTATAGAAATAGCTAGCTATTATGCCAAAGCTGTGAGTTAGGAATTATCTTGGATCAAAAGAATTGAATTTAAGATATTTAAAACTCTGAAACTGGTTATTTAATAAACAATGTAGAAAGGATCTTAATTGATTAATTGGTCAAAGGGAAAATAAATTAGAAATAATTTAAAAATTTTTAAGAGCCATGTATTAGGAATAATTGCTCAATCATTAAGTTTATATGAATCAATTAATAAAATCCATTCTATTCATTATTTATGGCTAATCTTCTAATTTTTGTTTGTATAAGATATACTCATTCACACTTAACTGATTTACCTTAGGGAGCTGCATTTATTCTTTTTGGAAATTTCTAAACATATCAGTAGAAAAGTGGGTCAATGAAACCATTACCTTTAAATATTTGGTTGTTAATTACTCAAGATAATTCATATTATTGCATGTAATATAAAATTCCTTAATAATAAATTCGTATTTTATATTATTTTTTGTTTAT